AGTGGGTCCCCCCGCCGCTCTCCCCTTCCCGGGAGCTCCCGCTGCGGCCACACGAGGAGACGGAAATTACAGCACAGGGACCACACAGCCGGTGGCAAAACAAGTGGAAATATTAAACTCAAAGATAAAGACTAGCAGCAGAGGCAGGAGTAAATGGCACATATGATATAACCATACAGTAAGCGAACAGGAGTCGTATATGGGATTGATTAGAGGTTGGGGTGGGTTTTTTCTTCCTTTTTTTTTTTTTTTTTTTTTCATTTCTTTTTAATTGTTTCTCTTTATAATAGGTTGAAACTGCCCAGACTGGTCCAGTACGACATCTTAAACCTAACAGGGATGCACAGCATGAAAGTGCCCACCGGAGCAGGGAAGCGGGGGATCGTTCCCGGCGCTCCCAAAGCTGCGGGCACACGATGCCGGTGCTGCCCAGCACCCGGCGCCGCTGCCACGTGGGAATGGCTCAGAGAAAGCGGGGCCCGAGGTGTGAGGGAGGGTTCACCACAGGGGACGGGATGGGGGCCTAAGCCCATCTGGCAGCAGCGGCTGCAGAAGGGTCTGGGAGCAGCTCTCCCCCGGTGCAGGAGGCTGCAGTGGGAACAGATCCCCCCACAGTGCAGGGGAAGGCAGTGAACCCCGTGCTCACCTCCGTGTCCCCATGGGGATGATGTGGAGAGAAGCACAGCAGCACCTGGGGACACTGGGGGCGTCACCCCACCCATGCTAACGTATCCCTCTGGCTTTTCGGAACAAGGCACCTGTGCAGGACCCGCAGCCCCTTGCACAGAGCTGGGGGCTCTGCTGCACTGGAAGGCCCCCCTGGAGCCCCTGCCTGGAGGGCTTGACCCTCCCTGCACCCCAGTGGGAGGGATGGGCGGTGGGTGAGGAAGGGACAGGAGGGTCCCCAGTGCTGGAAGGTGGCTGGGGATGCTGCGGGAGGGAGGGCTGTCTGGAGAGAGCTGCTGGGGGTCCCCCACGGCAGGGGCACTGGTAGACCGGCTACGCAGAGGGGGCAGCTCCTGCCACCCACGAGGGTTTGATTCCTTCACAGCTGCCAGGGTGCCAGGGCTGAGCGTGGCCAGGCAGGGACACTGCCCTAGTGAGGGGGTCCACCCACACCCCACTCAGCCCCGCCACCAGCACAGGGACACCCAGCACAGCCACAGGCTGCAGGTGCCTGTGACACAGCGGGTCCCTGTCCCTGCACACACACAGCAGGTGCCACAGCCTGGGGACCCCCGTGGCCAAGTGGGTTTTCATGCTGTCTCCAGGAATTGATATCAGCGTGGACCAGTCTAACATCTCGCAGGTTTTTTTTCTACTGGCTACTGGAATGCGCTCGTTTGGCTTAGGGGTCCTCGATGTCGAGAAACTCCTGCTTGGGGGGGGCCATGCCGCGGTACCAGGCGCACGAGCCGTCGCTCCTCTTGATGCAGGCGTAATGCTTCGCCTGCCGCCCGTCCACGTTGTTCTTCTCCATCGCCCAGTCTGTCCAGAGACACTCATCCGAGGAGGAGACGAAGCAGGGGATGGAGAGGCAGCGCGAGATCTGTGAGCAACAGGGACTGTCACTGACCACCCCCAGGAGAGACGCCGGCTGGGGGGAAGCAGCGCGAGGCATCTGGGGCTGGGGATCCAGCTCTGCAGCAGGGATGCCAGGCTGCCCCATCCCTGTGGGGCATGGCAGGGGTGTGACCCCGATGTGGGGACTGAAGGAACGCTCGGGTGCAGGTCCCAGGTCTGGCCTCAGTTCCCAGCTGAAGGCTAGGTCACCCTTCCCATATCTCTGGCTGGTGCCATGCCCCTGCACTGCAGCATCCTTGAAGGATGGGAAAGGGCATTTTGCCACAGACTGCACCCCACCTTGGGGCTGCAGACCCCCTCCAGCAGCAAGGGGAGCAGGGGCAGCCTGTTTTAGGGGGGGGTGCGGCCCTTACCTTGCACTCGCAGCCCATCTGGTACCGTTGGTTTAGGCTCTTCTTCTGGGTGGGGGTCAGCGAGTCCCAGGTGGAGACCAGGTCACAGAGTGTGATGTGCATCTTGCCGTTGCCCTCTGACTTGCCTGGGGAGAGGCCAGACAGACCACTCAGGGGGTCCCCCAGGCACCATGGGACCCCATATTAGCATGGGGTGCCTGGGGTCAGCCTGGCCTGGGGGGGCTGGAGGCCAGTATGATCTGACCTCCCCAGCCTTCACTGTCCCCAGAGGTTCCCCCCCAGCTGCCCCTGCCACAGCCAAGCACAGCCAGGGACCTGCAGAGGGTCCACCAAGGGCTGGTGATGGGAGGAAGATGAGGAGGAGGTTCCTGTGCCCTAGGAGTGGGCACATGTCTTGGGATACAGCATGGCCAGCACTGCCACCAACTTCCCCCGAGGGCTCCCCACCTGCAATGAGATACTCCTTCTTCCCGCCGGTGTCCAGCAGCCGGCCGCACACCGCAGT